TGTTGCTGCTGGTGGTGGTGCAGCTTCAAAATCTATGAAAAACCTCTTTATACACTTGATGCACGTACAAAAATGTATTTGTGTGGGCGGTATGAGGGTCCCACTGGTAATACTTCTTTTTTTCTTTTTTTTTTTTGTCCTTTACTGTTTCTGTCTATCTCTTCTGCTTTTCCCCTACGCTCAATTACCGTTAACGACTCCACGTGCCTCGCCTTCTTTCTGTTTTCTCAAACAAACAAACTGTACTTCAACGTTAAAAGAGTTTTAGTTTTTAGTAAGAGTTTTACGGCACTTGCGACACAAAAAGGTCATATAATAAGTGCCGAAGATTAGAGGTGTTACAAGAGAGTAACAAACACAAAAAGAAGGAGGAGAGATAAGGACGATAGATGTTTGATAGGAAAGAAGAAGCAAACCACACCAGAGCACCCGCCAACCATCCAAAGTTCTTCTGCTTGTCCCCTACGCTCAATACCGTTAACTACTCCACGTGCCTCGCCCTCTTTCTGTTTTCTCAAACAAACAAACAAATTGCACTTCAACGATATTAGAGTTTTTCTTTTCTTCTTTTTTTCTTTTTTCTTTTTCTTATTTGAGTAGAGAGAAGCTCATCGACACAATAATGGTCATTTTAGTGCTGGGAAAAAAGACAGACAGACAGACAGACAGAAACAACAGAAGGAAAGTAAAGAAATAGGACCTACCAGAGGCGCCTTCCAACAACCTGCACGGTACAAGATCCGAAATACAAAGATTCAAAAAAGGAATATAAAAACAAAACAAAGCAAGCAAAAAAACAAACAGACAAACAAACAAGGGGGAAAGGGCCAAGAGTAGAAAAGACAACTAGAAAAAAGCAGACTTTGTTCGGATCCTGAGCTCCGGTGTGTCAAGCTTCGAGAGCAAAGAAATTCTTTATTTTCGGGTCGAAGGTTAATGACATGCAAACGGGCAGAAAGACTCGAAATTGTTCCCGTTAATGCAAGGAGTGGTTCTCTTAATTAAAACGGTTCACAGTCCGTCTACGTGCAAGTCGGTTAATTGGTGTTCTTTGTTCTGACTGCAGCATGTAGTTTGTAGTTTCTTTGGGAGGGGCAGTGGTCCTTTTTTTTAAATGTTGGTTTTGTTCTTGTAGTTGTTGTAGCTGTTACTGTTGCTGTGAATATATTGTCATGATGCTGCAGTCACTGTTGTTGTGGTTGTTGTTGTTGTGTTTGTTGTTGTTGTTGTTGTTGTTGTTTTTGCTGCTGCTGCTGGTGCTACTGATGCTGCTGCTATTGATAATGATGATGGTGATGGTGGTGGTGGAGGAGGGAGGAGGGAGGAGGGAGGGGGAGGTAGGAGGAGGGGTGGAGGTGGAGGAGGAGGAGGATTGGGGTGGTGTAAGAAGATTGCCTGTCTTGTTAGTTTTCCATATGAGTGTGCGTCCGTTCGTGAATATCTACAACGTATATTTGTGGATATATATA